GAAAAGGTCAGATCAAAAAGAATTAACCTAGAAGGTAACACCCACGCACAGGAAATCAATGTGAGTCAATGCCCTGTATAGCTATCCTTATCTCAAGCAGCGAAAACCCTTGTTCCTTCCTATTATTGCTTATATTGTCTCTTCAACAAAATTAGAAATAAGGGCAAAATAGTTTCTGCTGGGTATTCTGGGGGGTGGGAGGGGTGAGGTAGGGGGCGTAGTGGGTGGTAAAGGAGGGGCTGTGGGGAGAAATGACCCAAGCCTTGTATGCACATACTAATAATAAAATTAAAAAAAAAAGAGATATGATTTAAAGAGTAATTAAGACATGAATTAATTAAGGAATGAGACAAGGGTGCCTACTCTCTCCACTCCTATTCAACATAGTCCTGGAATTCCCAGACCGAGCAATAGGCAACAAGAATAAGTAAAAGGAATGCAAATAGGTAAGGAAATACTCAAAGTATTTCTATTTGCAAACCCCATGATCCTATACCTCAATGACCCCAAAAAACTCCACCCCAAAACTTCTATGCGTCATGTACAGCTTCAGCAATATAGCAGTATACAAAATCAACTTAAAATATTCAGTAGCCTTTGTACATACCAATAATGAGCAAACTGAGAAAGAATACAGGAAAACAATTCCATTTACAATAGTCTCAAAAAAAATCAAATTCCTAGTAATAAACTTAACAAAGGATGTTAATGGTCTCTTAATGAAGGATGTAAATATCCCCTACAAGGAGAACTACGAACCACTGAAGAAAGAGATCAAAGAAGGCTACAGAAGGTGGAAAGATCTCCCATGCTCATAGATTGGCAGAATCAACATAGTAAAAATGGCTATACTACCAAAAACAATCCACATGTTCAATGCAATTCTCATCAAAATCCCAATGACATTCATCACAGAGATTGAAACATCTACCCTAAAGTTCATTTGGAAACACAAGAGTCTGCAAATAGCCAAGGCAACACTCAGTAAAAAGAGCAATGCTGGAGGTATCACAATACCTGACTTCAAA